ACATCGTAGAATACATGTATTTTATCATATGATGCGCATAATTTTCCATCTTTTTTTTTTTTACCGAGTCCTAGTATTGGAACGCGACCGGCCGAGAAGAGAGTTTTCCGCTCTCACTGCGCAATAATTCTACTGAATATTGTCTGCGCGTACAATCGATCAATCACCGCATCGGCAAGTATATTTCTCGTGCAATTGAAGTAGGAAAGTATTGGTAGAAAACGGTTTTCGATTCTCAGCTTCTTCCTACTTTTTTCCTTCTTCTTCTTCTTCTTCTTCTTCTTCTTCTTGTACTTTTATTTATCTATTGTATCTTTACATGCAGCTTTCGAGTATCTTCGTTTAATCCCGTTTTTCTTTTACATGTCTTTACGCTTCTTTTTACGAGATAAGCTATTCTCGAAGCGAAACCTTGATAAAAATAATTCATGCACACTTTATATTACGATAGGACGTAATATTTTTTTATATTTAGCTATGTTTTGTTTTTATTATTGTTATAAAGTATGTTACTAGGTATAAGATGAAATTTTTGGGATAAACTTTTCAAACTAACGCTTTAAATGAAGAAACAGATTTAGTGCGACGCATCCATTATAGAATCTTAGGTCAATATTTGTTTAGGATTTACTTCTTGCTTTTTCCAATCATACTTGTTTAAACAATACTATCGAATTTATGGATTCATAAATTTATGGATACTTGGTATTAATTAAAATTTTATTTCCACTAAAACAAACGCAAGTAGATCTTAGCACCGTGGAAAAGATAACTTCCGACGCTCAAGATGCACACCTAAAAAAGTTTTAAGGTTGGATAATGTATAGTTAAATTTCTAATAAAAGATCGAAATTGAAAAGCTTTTTGATTTTATTTTATACAATGAAAAATGTCGCCATTACAGAGAACTTTACATTTTTTAATTGTAAAAGTGAAAAATTATTCTTTACAATGAATGAAACTTGCAGATAAAATTGGATTTAATGCTTAAACGAGTAATTATCAAAGTTACAAAATTATTCAGGTATTAAAAACAAACAAAAAAAAAAACAAACAAACAAAAAAAACAAGAAAAAAAAGCACAAAGGTCGTAAGAATATTATTAAATTGTTCAGATCATCCGAACAGTTTGATTTAAATTTTGCAATTTTAAGTACCGAGTACATTGAATTAACTTTCTTTTTTTTTAATTATGAATAGGAATTGTAATTTTATATCATTTAAAAAAATTGTATCATTTTAATTGTTAGAATTATTATTATAAGCAATTGACGTTTTATTTTTGTGAACTTAAATTATGAAAATAATGTAGATAAAACTAATGAAGATAATATAAGCAGAACAGAAGTATAGATATTTTGAAAAATATTTACTTTGTACTAAAATAATACTCAGACCGATATTGTATTGAAATTCATGTGAGATTTCGTGAAAAGTGAAGCCCAGCTTTACTTTAGAAACTAAGGCGAGAAAAGTGAAAGGTATGGTAAATGAAAAGGGCATATGTATTTTCCATTACTGAGACTGAGTGAAAGATAAATGCCCTGTAGCGAAGTATTCTTGTTTCCCTCACATTTTTCTCCGATTGGTCACTCCCCCGCTCACTATCGCTCTCTTTCTCTGTCCTTTCTCTTATCTTCTTCTCTACTTCGTCTCTTATTTTTCCTCTTACGTGTAAAATGATTCGATCGAAGGGATGAAGGAGAACGATAGAGTAAATATAGATGCGAAACCGGTGCCTCGCGTGCCAAGTACCTAGATTCCCGAGAGAATCCCCGGGGATTTAGCGATTGAAATCAGCCGAATCTAAAAGAAAGACTTTTGAATTCGGTGTTAGAAAGCTATCAATTTTACCCAGGTTCCCCCTTTTTTTTTTCCTCGTGGTAAATCTTGATGGAAAGAACATAAGTACGGTTAATGCTTCTATGATACCAAAGCTTTTAATCGTTGGTCGACTTTTTATATTATTATTATATATATATTTTTTTTTATCCGATTAAGTATTAGCAGGAAAAATAATCACAATGTTTGGTTATTTCGAGTAATGGACGCTCGTTATATCAACGGATCAATAACGAATCGATAACGGATGACGATTCTATTACGTACTCATAAGATTAATAAGATTTATAAATGAGTTTTGTTTGTGCCATTTCCGAAAGTTGGAAGAATAGTTGCAGCAAGAGATGGACAATCATGGTTAAACTTCCTTTGGAACAGCAAATATTCGTTAAAGATAAAACATTAAGACAAGACGTTTTCGATAATACTGGTAAGGTCAATGTAACTGACGA